GATCAGTCGTTACGTCCATTTTCTGCCAATTCTAAGGCGCCCTCGAGGGGTAAACCGCTGAGGGCATTGTGTTACAGATTTGGGGCATTTTTGGGCATTATTTTGGGCACAAGGCCCTTGCTGGGGCAGCATGAAATAAGATAAAGCAAGATAAATAAAATAAAATAAAACAATAAGATTAAGTAATGCCCACTGGGCATTAGTAGGCATTGGTGTACTCGTACATGATTTTGGTCAGCGGTTTACGCCTCGGGCCAAGGGGGTAACCCGAGGGGGAAACCACTGACCCAAATCTTGTACACCAATACCCACTAATTGCCAGTGGGCATTACTTTATCTTATTTATTTTGTTTTATTTTATTTTATCTTATTTTATCCTTATAATGCCCCAGCAAGGCCTAATGCCCAAACTAATGCCCAAAATGCCGCAAGTAATGCCCAGTAATGCCGCAAATTTGTACACCACAATGCCCTCAGCGGTTTCCCCCTCGGGGTAACCACTAGCTAAAATATTGTCCTACCGATTACACGATTTCATCTAATTACAAATAATCTCACCTAATTGCAAATAATTTGCTTATATGCACGTTTAAAAATATGAAACGTTATTAAACCTCAAAGAGCTGTTAGATTTCCTCAAAATATATTTTTCTTATTTTACAAAGAAGTATTTGCTTGTAGAGGTAATTTCAGTTAAGACTGTAGTATTCGGTCACGTGTTTCCTTGCTTCCCACTTTTCCCACTAGTCTAACCGTGGTTTTAACGAAAAGTATTTTGTATCTGTATTTACTCTTTGCTGTTCCAAATTTGCGCGCAAAGGTGTATCAACGTTTCAACTCGCTGTTGTGCTAATAGCAAAAGCTTCAGTCTTATTTTGAAAAGAATACGAAAAAATGTTTAAATTTAATGTTTATTGTCCAAAATTAAGACAAAATGATTACACGGGGGTTTCGTAAGAATTTTACAATGATGTCGGAGATTCTGTCCCACGATTACATTAAGTGGTTACCCCCTTGCGTCGGGCACCCTGTACGGATCTGTCTGCCTTTTATCCGCGCTCCGTACAACTTCCTGCAAAAATTTGATCCATTTCCCTTTCCCTCACGGGGCTCGCGGGCGTATACATGTTTTTGTTTTGTGTACAAAAAGCACGAGGGAATGCGGTTAAAAAGAGTCATGTCGAGCGTCGAAAACGCGAGGGAAAGAACGCCGAGGCGAAGAAAGCAACGCCGCGAGAGAAAAGAAAGAGAAATACGACAAATGGACTCTCGTGAAAAAAAAATCCGACTACCGTCGACTAAGGTGGACTCAGTCGAAAGTCCATTCTCGCGACCTGACGCGGCGCGCGTCGCACAATCCGCGCCGGATGTTTTCATATTTTAATCATTTGTACGTACTTTACGCACGTAAGTTCGAAGCGCGCGCGCGCGCGCGCGGCAATTCGCAACGTTCCACATGTGACGGCGCGCGAAACCCGCGTGTCCAGTATAGCTCACCGCGGATTCGCAACTCGTGAATGAAGTAATAAAAATAGCGGTCGCAAAAAAACGGATTACATTCGACGAGGCCGCGACGACGCACGGTTGGCCGCGTCGCGTCTTCGGTCGAAGGCTGGAAAACAGTGGCGAAACAACAAAGGAGGATTTGTCAGAGGCGCATCTTCGGTGAGAAAACACGTCCATTGTACACTAGGAAGCACCGATGCCTTCCCACATGAATTTGTGCACATATTGACACATTTATGCATTTTGCATATACACGGAGAAAATTTTCTTTTAAAATTTATCCTGTAAATATTGCTATCGTGGGACAACACGGCATTTCAAAGAATTTTATGAGGGTTTTCTGAAACTTTACCATACATTTCACTAGTAATTATACTTAAAATTTCAAAAACTCATAAAGTTCTTCAACATGCCACGTTGTCCCACGATTACACGATTTTCAGGGTAAATTTTGAGAGAAAATTCTCTCCGTGTACATACATGGAAAATGTATAGAGAAAAGTCCTCTATTATGGGATAGAATTCTAAGGTGAGATCGAAGGGGAAACCGCTAAGAGCATTGTGGTGTACAGATTTGCGGCATTACTGGGCAGCACTGGGCATTACTAGGCATTACTGGGCATTAGTTTGGGTATTAGGCCTTGCTGGGACATTATAAAGATATAATCGAGGGGGAAACCGCTGACCGAAATCTTGTACACCAATGCCCATTAATGCCCAGTAGGCATTACTTTATCTTATTGTCTTATTTATCTTGTTTTATCTTATTTTATCTTTATAATGCCCCAGCAAGACCTATTGCCTAAACTAATGCCCCAAAATGCCTAGTAATGCCCAGTAATGCCGCAAATCTGTACACCGCAATGCCCTCAGCGGTTTTCCCCTCGAAAAATTATTTGCAATTAGATGAGATTATTTGTAATCAGATGAAATCGTATGAAATCAAATGAAATCGTGTAATCGGTGGGACAACATTTTAGCTAGTGATTACCCCGAGGGGAAAACCGCTGAGGGCATTGTGGTTTACAGATTTGCGGCATTACTGGGCATTACTAGGCATTTTTGGGCATTAGTTTGGGCATTAGGCCTTGCTGGGGCATTATTGGGGCCCAGTAATGCTCAGTAATGCCGCAAATTTGTACACCACAATGCCCTCAGCGGTTTCCCCCTTGAGTTACCCCCTTGAAATTAACGATGTTATCTCGTAATAGGGGACTTTCCTCTACATACGTAGGGTAAGGTGACCAAATGCGAATCAAAACTTTGATGAGTCGCTAATAAGCGACATTTTTAAATAATTCGCTTAAATTTCTCCGTTTTATACCTTCGCAACTTCATGCTCCATTCTCGATATCACGAAAGGCATCGGCGTGTTTTTATGTCGCTTATCAGAGACTCGTCACATTGTCAGTCCGCATTTGGGTATCTGAGCCAAATTTGACCACCCTACCCTACAGTGACGGACAGAATAATCGCGACACTTTTAATGAGTTTAGGAACATGCGCTTTTAGATTGAGGATTACGTTTCAAAGACTACGTTTCAAATCTTCCTCTCCGAGGAGTATTTCACTCGATAGCCGATTCCGAAACCATTTCGAGCGTTTTCGATCTACTTCTCGAGTTTCTAGACTCATTAAAAAAACAGTGTCGCCCTTCTGTCCGCCACTGCGCACACGTCAATCATTATTGTGATTCCTTCAAATAGACATATCTTAATTTCCAAGTCACCGATGTGTACTTTCTTTTTTACCACCGCGAAATTAATCTCAGTCCGACATACCGGCGGGGCAATTATATGTGAAAGATAGACGGTGATAAATTACGCGTGCGGTATCCGCGCTATTTGAATATCCGACCCAATAAGGTCCCCGGTAACGCGTTATCAACGTGTCCGAGTTATCTAATCCAAACAGCGAGATGGGGAAGCGGTCCGCAATAAAATGAAAGAAAAAGAAAAAAAAACACGTACCATTCCCGCGAGTTGTTAGCGCGCCAGACGCGCAAAATTGCGATCGCGGGGGCACCTACGCGCGCAACTTCGGACGTAAAATACAAGGAGAAAGAGTGTCGAGGCGAGTTGAAAGAAAGACCAAAAAAAACTCGCGCGACGTACACACGTGTATTGCACACACAGGCGCGCACGTCCGACGAGTTATTCGATCCCCGTTGGAAGACAGCGAGGCGTGATGCTACGGAAACGCGGTTCATTCACAGCTTCTTCGCTTATCGCGCTCGCGGCACACAACACGCTCTCTCGCCGAAAGCGCCAGCCACGCGCGCGCCCGCCCGCTTGTTTACGCATCCGCGATACGCGCGGCGCGCGTCTCCGCGCCTCCCGTCGCGGCGGCGACGACGAACGAGGACGACAACGACGACGACGACGTCGCGACGCCGAGGGAGCGACGTCCGAGGAACGCGCGCGCAAAGCGGAGCAACGTCTGCCCGACGAGATTCGCAGCGTCGCGAGCAACAACGAGCTCATTGACATTCCGCTCGCGCGCTCCAACGTCGTTCGTCGTCATGGTCGTCATCTTCGTCATCGTCGTTGGGATTCGTGCGCCAGAGAGCGCGGAGAGATTTTTGCGCGTCGTCGTCGTCGTCGTTGCTCGGACGCCGCCGGAGCGAAGAACAAAGAAGAGGATAGTAGCCAGGGCGCGGGGAAGAGGGAGGCGTGCATTTAACAACGAGAACGCACCGCTGGCGACGTAGCCACCGCTGGCGACCGCGAAAGCGAGAGAGAAAGAGGGAGAGGGAAAGAGGGGGAGAGAGAGAGAGGGAAAGAGAGAGGAGAGGAGAGAGAAAGAGGTGGAGTGCGAAAAAGAGAAGCGAAGAAAGACAGACAGACAGACGGACAGAAAGAAAGGACGGAAGGAAGGAAAGAGGAAAGACAGGACAAAGAACGGAGCTGGCTGGCTGGTTGACTAAGCTAAGCCAGCTAGGCCCCGCTCGCGCGATCGCTTCGGCTCGGTCGACGAGCATATATGCGTAGCACGCGTGAAAAAGGGCTCGAGAATGACAGCGTGTTGCCAGCCAGCCAGCCAGCAACCAACCAGCCAGACAACCAACCAACCAACCAACCAACCAAACAACCAACCAACCAACCAACCAACCAACCAACCAACCAACCAACCAACCAACCAACCAGCCAGCCAGCCAGCGAGCGAAGTCAAGCCAGTCAGCCAGCCAGCCAGCGGGCAATAACGAGAGAATGCCCTGGCGCATGACGCCTCCACTGTCGTCGTCCTTGTCATAGGTCGTAATCGTCGTCTTGGTCACGACGGGGACGCGAAACGGCGGCGACGAGGATGGCCGTGGTGGCCGCCGCGCTTCGCGGAGGCCAGGGGAGCGAATCAGCTGTTCGCCTCGGCAATGACAACATTGAACACGCACGACCCCCCCGGACTGTGTGTGGCAGCACTTCGACGCGCGTTTTCCGCGGCCGCGTCTCACGGGGCCGCGAGGCGGGACGGCTGGATCCGCGGCGTTGACTTACCTCGAGCCTGGTGCGCCCGGAGTGTATCATCCTTTTGCGTCGCGTTATTTTGCAAAACTTCCGGGAGTACCCGCACGGTGCAGTCGCGAAAAAAAAAACCGTCGCGCGGCTGAGCGAGTCGCTACGCTTCGCGAGAGAAATGGCCGAGTCTACTGAATGCTCGACGTGCGGGGCCGCGCAACGGGGCGGTGGGGGCAGCAACGGCGGGGATACTGGACGGTGCGCCGCCGCTTTCCGTCGGCGCCGCGGCGCGCGCCGCCGCCGATTGGCCGGCGGCGGCCGACTTGACGACAGCGCGGCCAACCGGCGCGCCCGCAGCCATTGTTTACACGCTTCCCATTGGATCGTTATTTTTGTGAGGGAGTAAGACGACGACGACCGCGGCGAGCGCGGCGAGAGTGTGGCACTTGGCGTGCAACGGCGTGAGAGAGGCGCGACTCCTCCGAAAACGGGAGCGCGCACGCGCGCGCGGCGCGATCCCGCGCCGTTGCAGACAGCGCCGTTACAGGCAGCGCCGTTACCGACGTAGGATCGTAGCGGTTACCAAGCGCGCCTCGTCCCAGATAAGCGCGCGCGCGCGCACGAGTTAAGATCGGCGCGTGTTGCTAGGTTCGCTTTGATTCGCACTCCGGGTGGAGAGAACGCGGTCGGGAAATAGCCCCGTTGACCTGGATTCAATTATGACTCGACCGAAATATTTAATTTACGGACGGGCAACCGGCAACGGGGGAGAGGGGCCGAGGCGACACGCGAGGTCTCGATCATCCGGACGAGCGTTGCGCGATAATGAAGCTAATTATTGTCCGGGCACCCGCGACAGCTCTCCTCTCCCGCGTAACGAACGCGACAGGCAGGGGCGTGTAAAATTCAATGATCCAACGGTATAAAAGGAGCGTATGACTTACTTTGTTTTCCACAACGAGTGATATCATTGCTGGCGCGATAGGGGGAATTGCGTAACGTAATCGATGATGATCGATCGGATAGGCATTTTACCATCGCCGATTAATTGCGTACAACAGGACGGCAAAGCGCGCTTCGTCGCGAACGCGTGAAAAAATATATCTGGAAACACGCTGTTTTCGGATTAATAGAATACAATTGAGGCTTCGTGCGTTTAATAAATAAAAATTATACAAATAAAATATGCTACCGTATTCGCTCGATTCTCCAGAACGTGAAATAAAAAATGTACTCGCACGTTACGGTGAAAACATCCCGTTTTCAGATTAGCAAGACATAATTGATACTTCGTGCGTTTAATAAAATTATACGAATAAAATATACCAGCGTATTTGCCCGATTCTCTAGAACGCGAAATAAAAAATGTAATCGCACGTTACATTACGGCAATTACGCCGAGTTTGGAGGGAAACAATTTTGTTAAGTGACTCCCCTTCCCAAAATATACGCTCAGGGAAATATAGCTTCAAACTGCTGCTGAAAAAGCGTTAAGCAAAAGTTTCTTCTTAACGTGCTTTTGCAACTTTTGAGAATTCTTCCTGAGAAAAGTATTGATACCCTAGTAGCACAATATATTGGCGCAATATTGGGTTGTTTAAAAAGAAAAGCATCCCGTCGTCAATTATACACCTCGTTATACGATGATACTTAATTACGCCGAGTTGCAGACATAGGGGCAGTATTATCGATAAGCCGTGATATCGGCATACATTTCAAGTATAGAATTCAATAGGAGGTCAGTGCGACGTTATCGAAGTGTTAGATCACGGCTGATAAAAAAAGAAATATGATATTTACGACATGTCGCGACCCGGTATGAGTCTATCAATTTCGGAGATTATCTAAATCATTCCGATCGAATCCTCCACTTATAATGACATACAGAATGTATATTAAATGGAGGATTTTTTTACTATGTCCCGGAGAGTGTCCGATCACCGCTGCGACGTGTACGCCAAAAATATATCGTCAATAGAGAGTCAGTAACGAGTGTATATGAAAAAAAAATTGCGTGCAGACTACAACATATTGGATATTGCAATCTTTATTTATACTTTTGCAAGACGTGACTGACTGCAATTCAACAATGTGGTGTTTGGACACGCGTAAGCTATGATCTTGTACTCCGAGAGGGATTTGTAATGCCACCTCGTGTGCTATCGCCTCGTCATAATCTTTAATATATTATTTATTGTTCACGTTTACTGCCACGACTTCCCTAACTTTGTTAATACATTTTATCATTGTTTGACCGTCACTGACACTGCTCGGACTCCTTTCGTGGTTACTTATACTTTTAATATTACTGACTGCTCCTACTGACTTAAAATTAATGTTAATCTATTTATTATAATTCTTGATTATTATTGATTATGGGTATTTTATCATCATCAAAGATGCCTTTCAAAATCTTCCATCTTTGTACATATGGTGAGTTCACTGATTCCTTATAATTTACGTGTATACATATAGTGTTAGTTGAATGCAGATTCGATCGCATATTATAACATGGCTTTGCGACCAGCCAATCTTTCGCGAATGGGGGAAATTTGTTAGAAACTCGATGTGACCGTTTTTGCTGAAGACGGCTCGAATTTTGGGCCGAAACGTTCAAACTTTTCTTTAATAAGCGTAAACTGTATGTGATATACACATTAAACTCGATTGTTAACATATCAATATTTGCAAAATGTTTAATATGTAGTAAAGATTTACCACGCGATCTACAGTGATAATTTAAGGCGCTTCTGAGTCCTCTGTGATCGAAGAACCTTGTGCGCTCGCAAAAATTTAGACGTAGTCCGTGCCTCGTAACCTTGCCGTTATCGGTGACGTGACACCGCTATTTATTTCAATTGTCGCGTCGTCGGCATTGATAAAGCGACCGAAATCGGGAAATACCATGTACGTTTAATCAGACGCTTTTTAAAAATATATTTCGCATTTTACTTTATTTCTACAATGCAGGATGCATAAATATTATATCATTTATCGTTTTCACGAGTTTATGTGTTTACTCTTTTAATTAATTCGATATTCAAGAGCGCAAATTGTTATAATTGAATTAAAAAAACACATTTCACACATATTACTTTTAAAGCAGATATATGATAATTTTATTATGTGTTCAGAAATTGGAAGATAAAAAGTTTTATCAAATATGTAAAGAAGCGATTTCCGTTTTAAAAAAATTGCAGTTTTATCGCAGAATATTACATTTAATTGTTTCACATGCATTGATTGCTTTCTCTCTCACTCGTTTCCGTCGCAGAAATTCGTTATTACTGATATACATATAAAACGTATTTTGACGTAACGCATCTTTCAAGATTGATTGGCTCCCGCAATCCCACACGTACGAATATATTTACCTGATGGGTTCATTCGGGTTTTGAACTCTCATTTTTTTATTTTTATCGATGTCGTTGAGATTTCGCACATCAACAATAAGAAATACGATTGCCGTCCTGAATATTATCTGAAAATATTTTAAAGTTCCAAATGATAACGCGATGTAAATGCATGAAAATATATGTATCATATTGTACGTATAATATTCTACTGCACCATCTGAAAAAACTTCATTGCTACGCATTTTGCACAATTTTATTGGTTGATTCTGACATTTTTACTGAATGATCCAATCAGTTATCAGCATTAAATCACTCCTAGAGCAATCTTTCGATTTCGTTTGCGCAGCTAGATATACTTTCGGGATATGATATTTCACGCAAGATTATTATCAAACGATAAGATGATTGATATAAATCGATACGTCTGTTGCAACCGCCAGTTATTGTATTTTTACCTGTCGAATGTGTGATACGTTTTGATATCAATAACCAAATTAATAACCACAATGAGAGGTGAGTTTCTGGGAGATTCTGTACGATCTCTGCACCACAGCAGGATGAGTAACGTGATGAGTATCGATCTAGTTTCTTAACGTTTTAGTGCAAGTTCGATATCAAATTGCTCGTCAATTGAAGTGTCGTGCGCGGTCCAGTTTGTTTTCTATCCTTCCTTTTTTGTAAACCACACGCGAAAATTCGCTTTGAACGTTGGACAAGATTTAACCATTAAGTTTAAGTAAGTTAAATTTTCGGGAAGAGATAGTCTTTTATCGTCACTGTTTGTTTAACGCGTACCGGCGAGAACAAATCTTGCCCTATCGCGCGGTAGCGTCCTCGACCATAAAAGCCGATAAAAGTTATTCCTTGTTACGTAGCGGATTAAGGCCGCTTTCGTGTGACGTCATCAGAAAATATGCAGACGGCATAGATACCAGAGAACTTGACTCCTCTCAATAATTGAGATAAGACATTTTATAATTTACAGGATACTATGCGGTAATCATCGCCGCATTAGCGATCGTCGCAGCTGAAGTATCCGCGAGCAAAATTACGGGTAAAACACCTGTAAGGAAGCCTGAGTGTCCGTCCTCAGGCACCACCAACGTGCCTCACCCGAAGGACTGTACCTTATATTACATTTGTCAGGACGGCAAGGGCACGCTTAAAGAGTGTCCCAATGGCCTGCACTTCAATAACGTTTTCAAGCAGTGTGACTGGCCGCCGGCAGGATGCCTTCCCGGAATGCCTCGGCCAGAGACTCAACCGAATATTCCTTCCGAAAGAAAGGAGGAAGAAAATACGTCTTCACGTGGCTGCGTCGGCACGTGTCCGTCTATAGATCCCATGGATAGAACGATACTTCTGCCTTATAGGCATGACTGCACCAAGTTCTGCTCATGCAGTAACGGCACCCCGTTTATCATGTCTTGCCCGGCTGGATTGCACTTCGACAAGGCAAAATCCATCTGCAATTGGCCGACGATAGCCAAGTGCCCGTGGAAGAAGAGCAAACGGTATACAGCGTAAAATTCTGGCGGACGAGAATTGAAGTAGAAAGAAGCGAAAAGACGCAGTTTGGCCGACTCTCCATACTATTATCAATTTTATTCGTACGCTGAGCCGAAGAGATGGAAAAAAACAATCGATGTTTTGGACAAACACTTATCTTTCTTAATGCGGATAATAAATGTTTATAATAAGAAGACCCCAGCAGAATAAATTAAGAATCATGTAGTACATATGTATCTGTACGTTAATTAAGTAGAAAACCATTTGTACAAATTACTAAATGGATAATGCTATAATCTGATAACAGAGTATCGATACTTACATCTGTATCTTATCTTAGATTATTGAAAAAAATAAAATAAAATTAATCTCAGCATTATTTTATGTCAGAATTTTTAATTGACTCTCTATTTTCTCTCATTAGCAATGTGTCTCACAATTCACGATTTTCGGTAAATGTCAAAAAATGTCACTTGTCGTAACTTCCCAATTTTAATATCGCTTTGCAACTAAGCTTGAAACTAAAATCTCATTAAAATAAAATTAGTTTCCGAAAAGTTAATTTAATCAAATTAAAATCGCGAGCTGTATAATTTGTCGTATCGCTGAACATATTTGGTTTTAATACTGTTTCAATGTTAAAAAATTGACAGATTAAGCTTTATTATTACTACAGTAATTCCCATTATTTCGAGATTATTGCATCTCATTTGTACCGTAATAGATAAATTTACTCTTTGGTAAAATAAAATTGGTGTCCTTTTGCCTCTTTGCCCTTTTACCCGCGTTTACAATACCGCATTTATTTTTAATTGACACCCTGTATCAGATACGTGTAAAAATATTTTTTGCACCTGCTTCGATATGCCTAAATGACTCTTCTAAGAGAAGGGTTTTGTCAAATGTTAGATATGATAAGCGCGCACTAAGTGATAACGCGCCGTGCGATTATATAAAAATCATTTCCTAAAGGCAAATTCGTCAGTTAGCAATTTAATGAGTGAAGAAATAGATATTGGTCTTCAATTATAGCGAATGGATTCTTCACAATGAAAGGTGAGTGATTGCGACTAACGGAACTTTGATAAAGTGATAAGACGGAAGCAAATACAAGGACTATTAAAATGCATTGGACGTCCGTTTGTTAAGTGGTAAATGTGCAGGACAATACTTTAGGCGCGCGAAGAAAGAGAAATTTTTGTGCAGTGCGAGTAATTGTGTTGATTGTGCTTAGATACCGACAAGAAGTATGAAATAATAATTGCATTGTGTACATATAATATATATGTACATCCAACTCTCTTTTTATGTGGTTTCTCGTGTGTTTTACACGACTTCTTTTTATAGCTTTTAAAAAAATTTTTTAATTTCTCGATCACATACGGACCTTAATTTTAATTCCTAATATTATATTTGTAAAAGTTTCTCAATCTGAAGCCCCCCAATTATTATCATGTTAAAAAAGCAAGTGATGATGTCTGCCGAGTGAGAAGAGACCTCTTCCAAATAGTATCATTTTTCTACGCGGTCTCTCAAAATATGTAACGTAATTGTTTTTTATATTTTTTTAAATAATACGATTTCTTTTTACACAGAATGTATCTACCACGTAACAAAAAGAATTAGATGTACATTATACAATATATATATACAAGTTTAAATTTATATTATCGTTATATAATTCGCTGATTTCACATTTTTTAATTAAATTAAAAGCAAGCATATTTATAAATGTAAAAAATTATATATTATTTCAAAATTAAATTAACGTTAATTTCATAAATCTAACATTTTATGCATTACATTTTCAATTTTAGGTATATACATAGTGGCCCTTTTTTATGTGGCCATACTGGGCGTTGATGCCTTCGACGAATCACCGGTGGCCGGCATTTTGGCAAAATGCCCCGAGACCAACCCAAAAAATGAAACAGTCTTTGTGCCCCATGATACTGACTGCACAAAATTCTACAGTTGTCACATGGGAGTAAAAGGCGAGCCATTAAATTGCCCTTTCATGGATAAAAACGGCAATAGATTGCACTTCAATCCCAAACTTCAAGTATGCGATTGGCCGTGGAATGCAGGATGTCAGATATCGTCTTCAAGTTCACCAACGACCCTAACACCGACGACTCCGACGCCGACGACCTCGACGACGACGACCCCGACGCCGACGACCCCGACGCCGACGACTCCGACGCCGACGACTCCGACGCCGACAACCCCGACGCCGACGACTCCGACGCCGACGACTCCGACGCCGACGACCCCGACGCCGACGACCGCGACGCCGACGACTCCAACACCGACAACCCCGACTCCGACGACTTCGACGCCGACGACTCTGACACCGAGTTCTCCGACGTCGACGACTCCGTCATTGGATTCTTGCGTATCCGATGGAAGGATACATATGATTCCCCATGAGACTTTGTGCGATCATTATTATTCGTGTTTCAACGGCATTGTAGATTCCGTCCCTCAGAAATGCGACCGCGATTTATTATTCAATCCAAAGCTCCGTGTATGCGATTATCCGGAAAATGTTAAGTGTAATAATATTCCGCCGAGTACGGATATTGTGACGTCAACTATCCGCTCATTAATTACACCCTCGATGCCGTTCACTTCGTCATTGTTTTCTCCATTGTCGACGGAATCAGTAGATCCATCTGCCTGGATTTGCGTACCAAACGGCAAGCGATATAAGGTTCCTCATGAGATTATGTGTGATTACTATTATTGGTGTGCCAACGGTATAAAAGGCACGCAGCCGGTAAAATGCAAGAGTAATTTATTATTCAATCCAGTGGCCGGTGAATGTGATTACCCGGAAAATGTAGATTGCTCTGGTAGAAGTACTTCATGGCCAGATACCACAACGACTGAAAGGTGGACACCGCCTACGAAACCACCACCAACGGACCCACCTCCAACGAAACCGTCTCCAACGGAACCATCTCCAACGGACCCACCTCCAACAAAACCGTGTCCAACGGAACCACCTCCAACGGACCCACCTCCAACGAAACCGTCTCCAACGGAACCACCTCCAACGGACCCACCTCCAACGAAACCGTCTCCAACGGAACCACCTCCAACGGACCCACCTCCAACGAAACCGTCTCCAACGGAACCACCTCCAACGGAACCACCTCCAACGGAACCACCTCCAACGAAACCGTCTCCAACGCAACCACCTCCAACGGAACCATCTCCAACGGAACCTCCAACAACAAGAGATCCTAACAAACCCCGTGAGAACTGTCCTGCTAAGGGCTCACCGGAGAAAGGACGGATTGCTCACCCATGCCTATGCAATCGTTATTACGAATGCGTAGACGGCGAAAAGATATTATTGACGTGTCCAATCGGCAAGCACTTCGATTGGGTGAGAGAAGTTTGCGATTGGGCCGCAGTAGTGAAGTGTATTCGGCCGATTCCGACCTTCGACATTCTAATGGACGATGGCTATGATTCCACATGTGCTCCAGAGGGCAGAGCATTTCCGCACGAGACCGATTGTTCCGCCTATTATTTATGCACCAACGGTCAGACGATTTTGACCTACTGTTTGGAAGGACTTCACTTCAATATGACCATCCAGACATGCGATTATCCGGAAAAAAGTTGCGATCTAAATGCACCCCTACCGACAATCAGTTTGGACACTTGCCCTTCTACATATTCCACGGAGAAAGTATTTTTATCACACGAATGTGAGTGCAGGCAGTATTACGAATGCGTTGGTGGAAAGCAAGTTCTCCGATCTTGCCCGAACGGAATGCATTTCGATGGCGTTCGACAAATTTGTAACGATCCGACTAAAGTCACATGTATCGCAACTTCGACAAGGACCGTATCTACAACTGCGCCAACTACGAGAGCTATTAATAAACCTCGCACAACGTGTCCTCCCAAGGGATCATCCGAGAGTGCACGGTTTCCTCATCCATGTCTATGCAATCAGTATTACGAGTGCGTGGAAGGCGACAAGATATTACGAACATGTCCGATCGGCACATACTTTGACGACGCGAAAGAAGTTTGCAATTTGGCCGCCAAAGCGAAATGCACCCGGCCGCTTCCGTCCCACAATATCCTAATTGGCGACTACGATACTAAATGCTCCCCAGATGGCAGAAGGTTTCAGCACGAATCAAGTTGCACCGAGTATTATTTATGCTCAAAGGGTAAGAAAATCTTGAAGTCCTGCTCAGAAGGACTTCACTTCAACGTTACTATACAGATGTGCGATTATCCGGAAAAGAAATGTGATCGAGTTACACCTCGGCCGACAATCTCTCTAGATGTTTGCCCTCCCGCAGGCTCCACAGAGAAAGTATGGCTGTCTCACGAGTGCGAATGCACGCAGTATTACGAGTGTGTTGACGGAGAACGGGTTCTTCGAGACTGCTCGGATGGTCTGCACTATGATCACATTCGTCAGATTTGCAATGAGCCGACCGAAGTCAAGTGCGCCAACTTCGCGCCGTTGCCGACGGTTCCCACGGATTGGTCATCCGGTATTCCCAATTTGAATACAAGATGTTACGACGAGAATAGCGAGACGCCTCACGAACACGACTGCAGGTTCTACTATAAGTGCAGCAACGGCAAGAAGATCTTGAAGACGTGTCCTGAAAACTTATACTTCAATCCGACGCTTCGAGTCTGTGATTTTTCGGAGAACGTCGCCTGCCATTCGGAATCTGCAAACTTACCTACTGCGTCAACGTCAACCAAGTGTCGCGCGACGACAGGAACCATCAAAATTCCTCACGAGACCGATTGCAATCTATATTACGTTTGCGAAGATGGCATTGATACTCTTAAAACATGCCCTCCAAAGCTCGTTTTCAATTCTATTCTGAAAGTCTGTGATTTCCCAGAAAATTATATTTGCAACGTGATCAGCGCAAAGGACGATTATAAAAAGGAAGATAAGACGATGATTCAAAACCTTGACCCGTCTACCTGCATCGGTACCTGCCCTGAAGAAGATCCCGTGTATGCAGTGTTACTTCCAAACGATGATTGCAAGAAATTCTGCATATGTAGCGGCGGCGTGGCGTGGGTCCAACCGTGTCCTGAGCCTCTCTATTTCGATTCTGTACACAAGGTTTGTAAACGGAAGAAGGATGCTGTTTGTGGGAAGCGTTCATTCGATCAAGGTGATGCTTTCACAGCTCGTAAGGTAGCCGACGATGACAATTCGCCACAACTTTTGACCGAAAAGACCGACAAAGACTATAGCGACTTGCCTAAAACACATTTTTACAATCTCGATCCGTCTACGTGTATCGGCACTTGTCCAGAAGAAGATCCCGAGTATGCAGTGCTGCTTCCAAATGACGACTGCAAAAAGTTTTGCTTGTGCAGCAATGGTTTGGCGTATGTCCAGCCGTGTCCTGAACCACTTTACTTTGATTCCGTGGATAAGGTTTGCAAACAGAAGAAGGACGCCGTTTGTGGGGTACGCTCGTACGATCCCTCATTGATGATCTACGAGAAGGATTTGATATCTGGAAGCGACGAGAATTATGATGAACGTGAAATATATCATAACCCTTGGTACCGGCGTTTCGATAATGTCAATCCGTTTATGTGCATCGGCATTTGTCCTGAGGAAAATTCCGAATATAGAATGTTACTTCCGCACGAGGACTGTAGGAAGTTCTGTGTATGCAACAAGGGTTCGACATACGTTCACGCATGCCCTGAACCACTTTACTATCATTACGTGGATAGGATCTGCAGAGAGAGAAAGCATACCGTTTGCGCAACCATAATTAGCGTAGAGGACGATGAAGAATATTCAGAGGAATATCTGAGCGATGAGAGTAACGAACGTAGAAGACATAACGGTTTGTGGCCACCCTTCCATAGTATCATTCCGTCTACTTGCATTAATACGTGTTCTGAGAGTGACTACATGTCTGCAGTGTTACATCCAAATGAGGACTGTAAGAAATATTGCTTATGCAGCAGAAATGGGATCAGAATCTATTCGTGTCCCGAGGATCTTTACTTCGATTCAATAGATAAAAGATGTAAACGGAGGAGGGATACAGTTTGCGCGCTCAGCCGAAATGACGGTACGATAAGTAAAGAAGTCATTGGCAAGGAAAGGACAGATACTGTAAGCGAAGAAATCAGCGACCGCGAAGTATATACCTCGTCTAATATACCTGTATACCCTTGGTTTTACGGCTACCTGGATACATCTACCTGTATAGGTACTTGTTCTGAAAACTCTAACTATGCACTCCTGCTTCCAAACGTGGACTGCAAAAAGTTCTGTATATGTAGTAGCAATCAGATGTGGATTCTGTCATGTCCTAATCAATTTTATTACGATTCTGTAGATAAGATTTGCAAATCGAAAAACAACGCCAATTGCGCGATAAATCCGTTCAATAAAAATCGACCTTTTATGTCTAACACAGTGGTTGACAAAAATAATCTGAATGGAGAGAAAAACCATGAAGGCAGTACACGTAATGGCATCTCGTCGAAATTATATTTCTCGACTTATCAATCTTCCAACAATCTTGACCCATCTACTTGTATCGGTACCTGTCCGGAAGAAGATCCAGAGTATGCAGTTCTACTTCCAAACGACGATTGCAAGAAATTCTGTATGTGCAGCAACGGAATAGCGTGGGTTCAACCATGTCCCGAGCCTCTCTATTTCGATTCCGTAGATAGAGTTTGCAAACTGAAAAAGGACGCAGTTTGTGGAAAACGATCCTTGAGCAAAGATAATATTGTAACGATCGCTAACGATAATGACAATTTGTCGAAATCCTTTATTACAGAAAATAATAACGAACGCGGCACATATGACAATCTCGATCCGTCTACTTGTATCGGTACCTGTCCGGAAGAAGATCCCGAGTATGCAGTTCTACTTCCAAATGACGACTGCAAGAAATTCTGTATGTGTAGCAACGGCATAGCGTGGGTTCAACCATGTCCCGAGCCTCTCTATTTCGATTCTGTAGATAGAGTTTGTAAAAGAAAAAAAGATGCTGTGTGCGCGGTACGCCAGTTAATGTAATAAAGATCACTGTTTCACAATTGATAAATAATGATTGCCAATGAATCTGTAGCTGCTCCGAGCGAGGAACATGATGGCAGTCATTTTAGTTGAAGTTTTATTTCAGTTTCACTTTTTATTTTACTTATAAATCTCTATGTTCACTTTTCTTATAATTTAACACTGAATAATGTGATAATGTTAGTTGTTGAAACAATTCTGAAACAAAATTCCGTTTTTATTTGAAGTAATCATTCGTCGATAATTATTTATTTATAGAATAATAAAATGTTATAATCTAACAGTGCCGCCATATTATACATATTGTAACTTATAATTGCTGAAAGCTATTGTTTACTTTTTAATTAAAATTACTATAGGTATATATAATAAATTATCGAGTTATAATTCCGTATTATGATTATTTCTTCTTTATATATCAATGAAATTACTGTTTAGAAGATATTTAAATCCAATTCATATAAGTCTTAAAAATATTATTAAGAATTTTCATACACAAATTAAATTGACATTTGTGCAAGGTTAAACCGGGTTATAAATATGCTACGTCGATATATAATTTCATTTCGTAAGTATCACCCGAGGCATCGGTTTCGCATTTTAATGTTTCCAAGTATCTTAGTCCTGACGCACCCTTTACCTTCTCATCTTTATCTTTAATATATCGAGGAGATATAGGATAAAAAAAGATATGTTAAAGATTCGTAAAATTAAACTGTAAAGAGAAAAAGCGGAACTTGACACCGATAAGCGTTATAATTGATCGAGACGATAGAGAACTTTACTTTATTCCAATGTCGAGAGAAAATTAATCTCGATATTAGGAAAGGAAGGAGGACATCACATAGTTTATTGTACATCATTGTAATATTTGCCGATTACATCCGGAGGGAACCGTATCGTGTACGATGTATACTCGTCCGAGCTCGGAAAGTCGCGGAGCAGGATTTGCTCTTTGTTCTGCCTGATGTTCTCTTCCCTTTGCTGTTTGTTTTGCCTCTGAGCATCCTGAATCATCTTCAGGGTCTCCCAAATGGCGTTCAGCTCCATCATTGGCACAGCATCACTTCGTTTGCCATACCTACGCGTGATTGTCAGTACTCTTAATTTCCATAATACGATTAATTCTCTTTTCATAATTATGTACAATCAGATTATCTTTATGTTCCTTCTTTCAGGTTTCAAGAGAATTTCGTATAATTAACTATGTATTTGAGGCTAGTATTTCGCGCATGTATACTATATTCCTTTATCATAATTGCACGTAATAATTATCTGTTATTTATTCCATGCGAAATTTGCTTTAATTTGAGATGTTTGCGAAGTAGGCTATTATTATCATGCATACATATGTTCTGACGTAGTAGTTATACTTAAAGAAATTTTATTATCCACTAAGTTATAGCATAAAAGGCCAGGCATCGATGCTCATAATCACCTTGCTTTTCCAAACGTGTAATAATAATTTTTAACAGAATCGGCGAAATTCTTTAGCTTAATGTCTGAGTCGATCAATTCCGATCTGGTCATTCTAGCTGTGGAGTCCAGCTCGGCACAGGTAATCGTCATTTCGATAACGGCGACAACGAGCACGCAACCGAAGAAACGAACCAGATTCATCCGTGTCAGCATTTTGAAGTAGTAGTCTCAGTTGCTGCAACGATATGTCGAAGCTTGTACGCAAAAAGATGAGGTAGACGATGATGTGATTTCGAAATTCACGAATACAATCCGTAGGTAGAACGACGAGTCGTTTTTCGTTCCTTTCCCGTCGCTGCGAAATTTCCCGCTTTACACGAGACATCAAAGGAACACAATCGAAAGTTTCTTTACGCGTACACTTCCGAGAGCTGTAAAAACCGGGGATGATCAAACACCACGGGCTTCCTTGCGCGTTTGCTTCGACACGATTGCTTCGTAAGAAAGACGCGACGGAGTTCCTCGATAATTAGCGTGCAAAATTAATGCATACCGTCGGCTTCTCTCAGTCAATCGGAAAATTCTTCGAGAAATGGTAAGAAAATGCTTTGTTTTTGAAAAATACAAGAGTGTAAAATAATTTACTAAAATAATACCGATTTTTTAATCTTTTTTTCATAGGTTCCTTCTATTTTAAGCGTAATTGCTTTACCACAACTTTAATTATAAATTGTCAAAATGGAATTATTTAGACGGTAAATAGATGAATTATTTAAGCACGGAGGTACGGCATTAATTTAAATTTGCTTATGGAATCGACTCGATAAGCGACAGACTGGCGCGAAACGTCGGAATAAATTCGTTAAGAGATAAACCTGCCACGAACGGAACACGAAATGACAAGGGGAGTCGCGAGGCAATTTCGTTGAATATGTAAAATTCATTGCGCCGCATTCTAATGCATACGATTATACATACTAGTATTACGACCGATTACTGCGTCAACGAAGCTATCGAATCAATCATGGAATTCAATTTTCAGGCACGTCCTTTTGTGACGATGGCATGTTCATCACGTTGACTGATTACCGCATGATGAAATGTGTTTCTACTCACGTCGCGTCATTCGCGACGAAACACTTGTGTTTCATTAACAAGGTCTACTGGCTGTCCAGCAATATTGGCCGGTTCAGCATATGCGAAATATATACGTACATATAAAGTTTATATCTGTTATAGATCATATTCGGTTTTGAAGAAGCGAGTTTCATATTTCTAGCACGCCCCTAATATATTCTTAGATCTAGGACAATACCACGCGACACAAATTTTCTATTACGTACGAAAAGTATGCTATGTAATTTTAAGGTTGATTGAATAAGTCGTTATATCAAAAATGCTGAATATATATACACATATATATACATATATATACTACATAATCGAATATTACGAAACTATGAGAAAACGCTTTTTAGATATATTTATCAGTAACTTAATTGCAGTAAAGTTTGTTTTAAAGTTTTAAACTGTGTACTTTAAGCTTTCAGCTTAAGTATATTTATAGAAATTCAGTATATCAATGCTTTATAAGTTTTTTTTGTATTATACGTTACTAACAAAAGGCATAATTCTGCGATGAATTGTCGTTTACAACAAAGAAAAACTCTATTTTAGATTAGATAATTGAGTTTATAATATAGTTCACCAATGCATAGACATAATATTAATAGAATATATATGTATGTACATATATATAATTTAGAATATATATTTTTTTAAACACATATATTTATATCAATCCAAACAGTCAAAAATTGACCTGCAATTACATCTTACAGAAAAACTTCAACAGATTTAATTGTAGAAATCGGAAGCTCCTGAAGTTAGATTGTTGCCAAGAGTTTTTCAAACATTCTTTCAAATTAATCTGGCTTTGCAGCACTAGAGTTTCTTATAACTAATACAATTTCTTAAATTCACACGATTAACAGCCAGAACTTACCGATTATCAAATAAACCTTCGAGCGATTTATACAGTTGTGTGCATGGATTAGAACGATTGGGGAGAAGTATCACACCTGAAGGAAGTCTACGTTCAACTCACTGACACCTTACAATTTCTATCTCACCCTCGCGATACCCTAGTGTATCTTCTCGATATACTGGCGAACGTTTCAGTAGTTCGGATCGGTCACTGCGCCGCCGACAGGAGTATATATACCTGCGAAAACACCCTCCATCCCCTCGGCTATAAACCGCAACCAATCCTCGAGACCCGACCCCACTAGTCGTCCTACCCTTTGCTAATAGAAAACGTCACAGACGAGGATCAAGGAATCCGAGAACTGAACGATGCAGAGTTATATAGAATAGAATAAGATACGAAGGTAATATTAAATAAAAAACCCATGATTATGCAAAGTTAATGCGGCAAACTATAAATTTGCTTCAGCATTTTTGTACAAAAGAATATCAAGAACTTATTAGGTGCTACTAATATTAATTTCTTGCCATTACTTCCTACTTTATTGAAATAATGTAAAATATAATATTATTAATCAGCTCCTATCTCATAATCTAACATTGTTGGGATCATTTTGTTTCGAAAATTTGGTGAGTCCATTTTTTTTAAATTTCAGCTGCGATCACAACCGAATATAACGATGATGAATTATACACACCGTGTGACGGTTCTACAGGTAAAGACTTACCTGGTGCAGGTAAATCGCAGAGAAATATAAATAGGCCATGACGGACATGGTGTTTATTAATTCATTAAATTATTTTGTATAAAATTAATAGAAAATTTTTAATAATACAGAGAAAGAGAGAGAGAGAGAGTGCAGCCAGCATTATATCATTCTAAATATCGGATGGATATTTAATTTGTACTTAACATTTATTTTATAATATACATATTCTGTAATTTTATAACAATAAAAATAAACAATAAAATTAAAATAGTCAATATCTACAGGAAACAAAGAGTCTTTATCCACTATTTTGAACATTTTTTAGTCTCTCTCTCTCTCTCTCTCTCTCTCTCTCTCTCTCTCTCTCTCTCTCTCTCTCTCTCTCTCTCTCTCTCTCTCTCTCTCTCTCCCTCTCCCCCTTTCTCTCCCTCTCTCTTTCACAGCATGACTAATGAATATCAAAAGAAATAGAGTCAGAAAGAGATAGAAAAATACAATTCAGATAAATAATTTCAAGTCTAAACAGCCTCAAACCGGGTCGATTTTCAACCGCATTGTTATTCCAATATCGCGTTATCTAAAATTACGAATACACGGAAGGACCACCAGTGCTTGCCTTCGTTAACGATTCGGTCTTATTTATATGATCAAATCGCGCTCGCTGGAAAACATCGCTATCTCCCAAGGAACATCACGAGAAGCAATCAGGAAGTAAAAGTAAAAAAAAATGAGAAAAATAAAAGAACTGACATAAAGGAGACACCATCGACGAAGTGCGAGCGACCATCCGTCGCCGACCTGCGAACGGCGACAACGAGGTCGTAGTGGGGAAGACGGGAGAAGCAGCCAAGGGTGAGGGAACAACACACGAGCAGGAGAGGAAGCTAACTACACCAATAATGCTAAAGTCTTAGTGGTGGTTGTGGTGATGGTGGTGGTGGTAATGTTGGCGGCATAAGAGGGAACTTCTGCAACAGGTAGAAGGAAGAGGGGTCGAGAAGAAGGAGGAGCCGGTCGGGACGTTCCGGGCGCGCGAGGGAGACGAAGAAGAACGCAGAAGAGAACGGTCATTGCCACCACCTCACCTCGAGAAGTGCCCGAACGCTAGAGTCTCCGTCGGCACGAAAAGCGCCGGCCTCGACACGGTCTACCATCCATGGCTGTCCCGCAGTTTAGCTTGCCGTCGTTTGTACCTACTCGGCTTTACCTTCTACCCGTGGGGGGGCTAACTTCTCTCTCTCACGAGGACGCGAATAAGCGCGCGCGCTCGGCCGATGCGTGTCGTCGTGGCCTGCCGATTCTTCGTGCAGGGGGAGCGAGCCTGCGAGCGAGCACCTGGATCGGGGGATCGGTTGATCCAGAAGTCGTGAACCGAGCAAAACCAGTTCGATAGGTGCCAGCCGTGGCGAACAGGTCGAGCCGGCGGCCGTCACTCCGAGAGTATACTCCGAGAGGCATCCTCCTCTTCCCATTCTCGGGTTTCTGTCGCGAATCCGTCTGTCGCACGCGACGTATGATATCTCGCGCCTGCCGAGTGAGTGTCCCAAGGTCGGTCGAAGGGCGATCTCCAGGGCTCGTGGAGTTCGCGGGGTCACAGATGAAACGGGGAGACACCGGGCGTGGGAGACACCACTCGACAGGCTTCGACCACGTGGCCGCAGCTGTTCACCGGGGATTCGCGATCGAGGGTGCGAGATCTGACTGACGCCAGGTGATTCAGGTGATCTCGTGGGACGCGTTCAGCGCGTGGAATCTAATTCGACGGTCACCTTATCGAGGAGAGATGATGCATCGCCGTGCGATCTGACAACTTGAAGGGGTTTTATAGCAACATCGCATCAGAAGCAGAAGCAACAGCAACGGTCTGTCGAGCGGTGTCAGTCAAGGTATGCTTACGGCTCTGTCTCAAGGTCCCGAGATATGAAGAAGCATCATACTTTCTTGCGCGAGTGACCTTCGTTGAGATTACAACGGTCGATGGTAGATGGTATCGTTTTTGTCAGAGGGCAATGCACCTTCGCGGATAATTCAGGATAATTAAATTGATTTGATCGCACGACTGACGGTTCTTACGCTGCCGCGGAGTTTCTTGGCACGAGTACTCCGAACTTGGCCGAACAGGTGATTTCCTCTGCGGTCTCTCGTCCTTGATCCTCAGAATCGGCATCGGAGCAATTAATGTTTTTTATCGTTTCCGCGGTCTGGTGATTTTGATCGATTATTGATCGATAACTATTAATAGCTCGACAACGTTTTCTTCCCGCACGAAGAAGATATTGTACGAAGAATAAAGACATTTTTGTCTCAAGACATTTTTACGACATTTTACAATATTTAACAAACTCTGGTCAAGGAACGGTAGCTTCAATTTTTTCCCCAAAACACGACTTGAAATCGATCAACTTATAGATAAAACAAATGATAACAGTTATCAGACATGATATGTTACAATATTTAACGGAACGGAATTTCCTCTTGTACTCGTTCTAACAATGTTATGTCACAAATGTTCTAAAAGATAATCCGCTTTGAAGATAGATCGGCCACGTTGGTTTTATAAATAAATCCCCTTTAATACAAAATCAAATAAAAGAGAAACGGAAGTGAAGAGACGCGCAAACCACACTTGGTTAAGCTTAAGCCAAGCAAAACATACGAACAACGGACCACGGTGGCTGCACTTCAGTACATACCAATATTATCCGCTTGATGGACACGGTTTATTGCGAATAATCAATCTGGGGGCTTACGTGTGTATACGACTGTGGTATGTATCGACGAGCGGGACATATTGCAAATCCGTTGTCGAAGTTAGCCGCATGTTCCTTAGAATAGCGGTATATTAGCTCGTTTCAGCTGAATTTCATTCGTACGTGGCCGGGCACGCGCGTGTGCGCTCGTACATGTGTAAACTAATGTCTGCCTCGATTTTACGCAGCTTCATGCATAATTCACGAGGATTTGCCTGGGAGAAAATTCTGGTATTCCTCGAATCAATCTGTTTATTTTGACGAGATAGCCGTTAAACGCTTCCCACAGGACGATATGAATTATCGCCGATATATAACACGTGTTATTGTCTTTCGCGGAATATCTGTAACATAAATCCATCGAGGGGCCATACGAAGAACAATTGGCGAATTAAATGTGGAAGTAACAGCTTTTTAATTGGTCCCGTCTGGAGCCTCGATTAAGATTCGGATAGCGGATTTACAGGCACAGACAAGTGGTTTTGTAATGTTCCTGAATAATTTTCACGGACGATAGCAGAAGGATACCGGCGTCGTTTGAACTTTCTGGGTTTACGTGCACCACCACCACCATTTTATATGCTCGTAAATATATTACCCGTTGAAAAGAAATCGTTTAATGCGGAGCGCATAGGATTGAGACTTACGGTTTTATTTGCGCGTAGTGTATCTCGGCGCCAACCCACATGTGTGCACATTAGATACGTGAGTACAAATGAAAGTGGCAGGTACCGTTACCGCGCGAGTGCTGCGCGTTACGACAAAAGCTTTTTCTACGCGCGTATACGCCACGCACGATACGCACGTGCGTTTCTCGTCGCTTTCGTCCGTCAATTAAGATATGCCATCGGCGGATATGCAATTTTTTCTTGCGCCAAGGAGAGCATCAATTCCATAAATGTATAAAACTGTAATACACTAATGTGAGAAAACAATATTTAGACTCGTACGACGAGCTACTGTTTGTCCTGAAAGCTATGGTAAACGTAAGAATGCAAACCGAAGGGATAATATTAGATACTTTACTTTATATTAGAAATGTTACTATAAAATCGCAACAATTTAAAATCAGAATAGACTCAATTAAATTAATTTCCATTTTTGTAAATAATCCCTTTAACTCTACAAACTGATTACGTGCATTTCTGGCTTTCGACGGAGAGAACAATGATATTCTTGAATTATTTAACTTAGAAGGAGAAAGTCGCACGCACATAAAACGATCAAGTATATTCAACGAATCAAACGACTAAAACTCACCTAGCACTTTGTTGGATTATGTAGACTTCATTCTAGTATAGGACATGTGCTTGGACTTTGAGTGAAGGAAAAATGCATCTCCACTAGAGATGCGCTCTTTCGATTACAAGATAACTGTTGTGTGTTTCAAAACCCGAATCATGGGACCTAGCCATGAATCACAGGCCAATTCACGCTACCATTTATTACTTTACCCACCCGAATTCCGACACAGGCTATTCCTGCCTGTAGATAACTAACGGTTTTTATTTCCTCAAGAAGCGGCGGACTGCACACTAGATTAAATCACTGCATTTTCCCCAGCGAGAATTTTATACAGAAGTGCTACGACTCTCGGTACATCGTAATACTATCTCTTCTCATAATTAAATTAATAATAAAGAATAATATTAAATTAAACAATTATTAGGCTACCTCCAGCTTGCCCGGACCTAAGTATGATTTGGTGTTTTTTGTTGTATTTGAAGAATAATATTGTACTCCAGCAAAAGTTTTAAACTTTTTCACTTCATGACACACGTAACCTAGTTACTAAAATTCTGCGGCGCCCTAAAAAATATATTATATTCTATGTTATTAGATCCTAAGAAAAAACGGAGTCAGTGACCCTCTGACCCTCTGACTAAACTGTTAGGTATTGAATGCTTCTTTTTTTTAATTCTCGCGGCATACCCGTGCGCCTCTCGCAGCACACTGGCTGAAAATCGCTGCTATTCTTTATAAAATGTAAATACAAAAATATGGCGAGTATAATAAGTATAGAAATAAACGTCAAAGTTTTTTCTCGAGTGACAATATAAAAATTGTTTTAAATACTAAAATACGTAAATTAATTAAATATAACAGTAATTTTTTTTAGCAAATTAAGATTGCCAAATTCGTAATTATGAATTCTGTAATAATCATCTGTAAGTGATGCGGTCAATCGATCTCAATGTAAGGAGAACACGCGAATTGACTTGTTTGTCGACAGATGATCGCCGTTCACTGTTACGTGATTCAAGCTCGGCGAAGTATAACGTTACATCCAAATTCCTGCCTCCGAATAACTGTAACCCGGTTCTCGCCGATTGCACGGCTACGTTTATCGAATAACCACATCGCTGATGATAGCGCGAATGATTAATATCTTAAGATGACGGCCAAGAAGAGAAAGACGAAGGATCTAGAGATCGAAAACGAAATCTCGGTGTCGATCTCGTGATCCAGAAACGGATCAACTGAAGAATACCTTTTCCGATCGGTAAAAGACGTGCTCTTATCCTTGTTGACGACAGACTTGCCGAATGTGTAGTTACGAAACGAACATTTTTTTGCAACCCGGTCAACGACCGCGTCGGCATCTCTCGTCAAGCCGAAATGGTGTGAAAAGCGGCTACCATCTTGCGCAGCTTCAAAATTATTAAACTTTATTACACAATTCATAATCGGTTATTTCACTGAATTCTTTTCTCCGTCAGGATTCCGGACGGCCGAACAAATCTAATTATAAGAGGCTCGAACAATGTGACAATTACGTCGTGCCCCACGAAATAATTATCTATCTTCAATTTAACTCTCGATCGGAGAGTCATATGTTGGACACGTATCTGCTCTCATCTTGCAAATGTGTTACATGGATAAACAGGAACGAGAATCCTGAACTAATTAAATCCCGATATAATTTCACGCGCGATGAGCAATCGATTCTGCCTTATCATTTATTCGTTAACAGTTCTTCCAATTCCGAAGATAGGAATAGAATGTGCCGTTACTGCGAAAATCGTGTTTAATCATCAACTAATCACAATTAATTACATAACGTTCGTGTTTAGTTCTGCATCATGAAAGTATTTTACTTGGCATGCTCGGTGCCTGCGATATGCACCTGCGCGTTGAACGCGTTTCCGTTTGTTTGTCTTATTTGTTGCGAAAGATAAGTGAAGTGCACCCCACGTCTAACGAGACGATGATTTGTCAAGTGTCTCAATATCACTGTGACATCGAGGGCATTAATCCACACCGAAATTATCGCCGTAATTATAAGAGATGTAAATGACACGCCGGTCGAAAGTGGCTCGTCTAAGCAGCATCCGGTGGCGAATTGAAACGAGCCGTCTGCGAGTCCCTAAGAATGAGCGTTAAAGCGTAGTCATGAGCGCACTGACGTCTCGCTATAATCAAATGCAATTACATCATGTAATTACGTCCAGACGGAGAGTCAGTCCCTCACCCCGTCCGTTTGTGAGAATCTTCCCAGATTTATCGTCACGCCGCGAATGTCACGGTCGGCAAATGCCTGAATTAAACATGAGCGGGCCTGCTTCGCAAGTTTTGGGGATGAATCATTAATTACGTTCGTGAAAGATAAAGATCGAATCATTTGAAAGCGGGAAACGTAATCTCGCGGAACCTCACTTTTCTCGTTACTTCGCGAAAGCGCAATAACCGATAGCGTGGAAAAGAAACGCGAACAGCGACAGTGAGGACCTCGGAGGAAAGAGATCGGGCCTTTCTAAAGAGTAAATTTAATTTCTTCCGGTTTTCGTCTGTGTTTCAGATGTGCGACCGGCGGAAACAGGCCTGGGCCACCGTTATCATTGGCAACGTGTTGATCTACACCGTTGTTATCGCCAGCCCGATCTATGTTCCTCAATTTCAACCAGGAAGTAAGTACCTAAGATCGCTCTATTATTCGCGGGAAGAGTATCAATAGTTTTCTTCCAGATAGCATCGGCGCAGTACGGAGAGTTTCTCTGTAATGCACGGTGCTTAATGATCGTAATTCGCTGATTAAATTGCCGTTACGTCGTCTTACGGAAATTGCGTGGTGCCTCCGGCGTATCGACCTCCGATTACGAATAGCTTTAATTAGACATAATCGCGGACGTAACCGAAAATATCTTAACCGACCGAAATAAACTCGCCGCGTTCTTTCAAAAATATGCTCCTTATGACCATTGATTGCAGACAGGTTGCTGATTTAAATTGCCGGCAATGCGGTTATTTTGAAATGCAAGTTTATATGTTAATATCTTCTCTCTTTCTCTCCCTCTTATGACTCTTCTTCCAACAAAAATCTCACTAAGCATTGCAATTAATCGATTTTAATTTGGTTAAAATCTTTCTTACGCTCGTTTGGTAATTCCTTAGAAACAATTAATTTTCTATCAACATTTCCCCCCCAATTGTTCTAGAATGAGCATTGCAACGCGCGCATTTACAAGTTAAAACATCGCTCCAGTTGTGACAAGAATCTCAAGTCGATTCCTACAGACCGGCGACATATCTCTGCTCGTCCCGCTGGCTCTTTCACGCTCGTTGCATTTTCCTCGTGTGTCAGCTGAGTAACGGATCGGTACACAAATACCAGTAACCGGCACAGCCAGGTCCGATCTATGCGTGTGCGTAAGCGCTCGCTTGTCTCCGTCGTCGTGCAGCGGCATTGAACCTACCTTGAATTCGTGTTCGAACGGAACGTGGGCGGACTGGTCAGTTTTCTGTAAAAGTGGGTCAACCACGGTCATCGAGCCGCGTGACTTACAGTGATTTTTCCGTCCCCGTCATCGCGGTTCCCGTCGATTTTCGCGTGATCATTCCCATCGGACGGCAGGGATCCGCAAGATCACCGAGCATTGTCTTCTGTGCTTTATTGTTTCCCGTTAAAACACACATACGAACACGCCAAGTGCGCGTTTCATTCGGGCTCTTATATAAAACTGATTTTACAACGTCATTTCTACAGCTGCGAACTGCAATCGTCGTGTGACAATACGGTGATATGAATCGGCAGACGACTGGGTCTTCCTTCTGCGACACTTCCGTATCCGAGCAATCAGATAAAGCACTTTCTAACAATGAGCTATGCCGCGAGTGAAATTCTTTGCGCACGATCGCGTAGGCGTGCACACGCACGCACGCACGCACACTCGCGCTTACGCACTGCCGCGTGGCGCGGTACCGCTTTAAATTCCGCCAGCTACATAAAGGCGTCGCCAACTTTCTTTCATGCCGGTGACTAACTAACGCGTCACTTCCGCCAGCACACATTTTCTGCGCGGAAAGATGATTGGGCGTGCAGAGGACTTTTTGGGCGAGCGAGCTTGACCGACTGACCCGGTAGCGCGAGCGCTGGGACCGCAAACAATTTTACAGTTGATTTTCACTAGCCACGAAACGTCCGTCGACCCGACAAGCCCGGTAAAAGAAAGTAAACAGTGGCGGAAAAACCATAACGCTTTAACGAACCCGTTTCTGGCACGGACACTACGGTCAGTCTGGTTATACGTGACTGTCAGCCTCGCTACCGCCGCTTAATTCGCGCGATTTGCCAATTAAAATAAGCCGCAAACCTCAATTAGACGTTTCATTCCGCGATGGACCTTTCGAATTTCTACTTTATATGATGACTCTTTTGTCTCCCCCCTCGGCAATCTCGTCTAAACTCGACGTACGTAGCACTATTTGACAACGTAAAGTCTCGCGTTCATCATGCTAAGTGATCTGTCACTTTCTTTGGCGCGATATGCACACAGTATACCGAGAATACCGGTATTCTCATTTTCCATGTTTATATCGAGAACGCGCCTGGTCCATCCAAGCATCTCGGGTCAAGTATGCTCATTTCATCATACCGAGTCGGAGCACTTTGGAATGTACCATGCTGATTTCGTTGGGCCAAAGACCTCGCGAAGAAAGAAAGAGAGAGAGAGAGAGAGAGAGAGAGAGAGAAAAAGTTGGAGGCAAAGCAAGAGACGGTGAGGTGTCTTAGAGGGAAACGGGCTGTTACATTAGGCTATGACTGTGACCCACTTTTGGGTCGGGCAACTAGCTCATACATTGAAACTTAACGGTACCGAGATGCTTCGCCTCGCCTGACATCAATTCGTTCCCCGATATAATGCCGCATACGCCGTATACGCATTAGCGTTTTACAATCGATCGTTGATATAAAATCGCGATTGCGAGGGAATTCACGTTGGATGTCACTCCCAACGAGATTTATGACCCCGTCAGAATTTTTAAGGGTAAGCGACCTGCGCGCCACGACACTCTCTTCCTTTCGGCCTGGATCGTGCACCCACAGAGAAAATTTCCGAATCCAATGCTATTACACTTGAATGTATCATAAAATAGGATCGATATAGCGCCAATCTTATTTATTATACAGAAAGGAATATTTTAATCTTAAATAAAAAAATATTTAAATCTAGAATAAAATGATAGTATGTATCGTCTTTTGTCGAATATCGCGGCGCCAACTTCGTGCGTTGTAAAATGGAGGGAAAATTTACTCTAAACGCAAGAATATATAAACTTACATATAAGTTACTCTTGTCTCAATATAGTAAGTCAATCTTTTTTAGTTCGATAGAGGAGAATAAGAATTATTGATTTTATTTTGATATTGTCTTATTTTTATACTAAATGAGATTGTGAGAAATATAAATGCGTCAAGAATATTTTTTATCTCGGTAACAGAAATTCTTTCTGAGGGTGTGTTGACGAACTTTACATGTTTCATCTCATTATTGGAGAAATTGGCTCATTCGATCGAAGCCATTTACTACAATGCGTGTCGCGGTTATCTTTCGCGCATTCTCTGCAATCTTGATACAACGATTTATCTGTTTTTGTCTGAAAGTTTATGCGTCGTCTACAATGCATGGAGTAAGCCTGGAGTAAGGAGTAGGAGTGAGGAAATAAATCAATTTTATTTCTTACTCCTGCTTCAGCTCTTACGCTTACTCTCGGCGAATCAGAGCGCCATCGCGGCCAGTGTTACACATATTTTCAAAATTATGCCTGTGTTTTAGCTGCCTTACACCAAAAGCTAAAGTTATGGTTCCTCTCTTACCCCTTACTCCAAGTTCACACCATGTATTGTAGACAACGCTTTACAATTTTACATGTTACTTCGGAGCGGAGAGCAGGATTCCTCCTCTGACGCACGCTGGCTCTTTCGTGGCTAACTGTATAGCACGACCGTATGAATCATTGTCAAAGCCGACTTCTGTCATTCCGTTATACGCCTCTGATATTTCTAACTTTTTAAGTTTATCGTGACATCTGTTTGTTTATACACTTTCCGTTCTGTCGACGCACAATGCGCTAAAGACCCAGAAACGATTCCTGTTATCCGATTAATGCACATGTGATCTTTCATTTTTTACCGGAAGGTAACGACTGCTTCAATGCATTCAATGTATTTACGCGGATGATTAAGTAAACTTGTAGCGAGTTCAATAAATATTATCAACAAGCTAATATCGCAGTTATCACTTTACGCGTCCGCCTGATACTTATTAGCGCTTGTCATAATCTCGCTGCACCACAGCTATCCGTCATATTTTCAATGTACTTCCTTTCCGTGATTCAATTTCGCAATTATGCGCCGTTTATGCCGTCCTGCGTCCCGTGCGATCCATGGTGGAGATCGCGGATGAACGGTCACAGCAAGATCATTACAAGAGAGAATTATAAGCAGATTCGTCGACGATACGAGAGCGAAGTGTTACGGGCGGGAATGTGGAACGTATAACATCGTGAATGAACAGTTATAGACACCGGGTGAAGGTTGATATAGACTTCGGAGGAGATCAGAGAACACGGAAGCGTTTATCTAACCACCGTTGACGACCATTCGTCGGAGAGAGGAAGGGCTTCCACCTCGGGGCATCACTTCGTAATGTTTTATTTCACGGGACTTTTTCTCCCCGCGGTAAAGAAGTCTTTATTTTCGCATTAATGTGTGAGATAATCTCCCGAACGGAAGAATCCCGTCTATCGCCTGAGAGAATCGCGTATCGTCGTGAGGTATCGCGACAGCAAGTTCCGGCGAATTATCTTTATGAGGCATTAGACGAGAGAGAGGAGAAAACACTGTGCGTAAAAAGATATTAATACAATTTTTAGCGCGTGAGTCAAGAATTAAATGCCGATAATGTTGTAGAAACAATGTCATAGAAATAGTATGGATAACATTGTTAACGCAGTGTGTTTAAAAAAAAAGTTTTGATCGGAAATCGACTTGTCATAGATGGGATGTTGTAATGATGGCTGTTCGTTTTTGCAGGCACGGGAAGAAACATCAGACACTTGCCCTGCGTGTCACGCAGAAGCGGTGAGACCGGTGTGTGCATGTTCGCGTTTACCTGTGCGAAGGCTAATGGCACGCATCTTGGCACCTGCATCGACCGCTTCTACTTCGGTAGCTGCTGCAAGATTGACGACGAGCCGGACATTTTTCCGCAGGACAACAGTATCGACGACGGTCCGTCGCCACTGAGGCCGTTCGTCACGACCCACAGGCCTATCGGGAGTAGCGGCATACCGGAGTACTTCACGAGGACCAAGCCGACCGATGAAAAGAAACCAGTCGAGGCTTCGCAAATCACGGTAAGCAGACGATCGCTAATGAAGCAGCGAGCCGGCTTAGCACGTTTCGCCATGTGTCAGTAGAAATGAGCGGTGTGACAGCTTTGAGTTCCTAGAGACGGCACGATGGGATCGAAGTAACGTCCTTCGCAATTGCTACTCCGTCAAATCATCCGCAGCGAACTTAATGTTCCACAAGGCAGATGCGTACTGATAAAAAGTCATTCGAGTCCATTTCTGATTTAAGATAATGCGTGATTACTGTAATTTCATTTTATCTCTCGTAAATGTTAATTTTAGAAAGAGGACCACGTTTTTAAGACGCGGTGAGTAATGGTAGAAAATGAAGTAGATTACGAGATGCGCGAGGAAGAGCGAGACGTGATATTTTCTCAGTTCTTTCAGATATGTTATAATAACTTTCTCTGCGTGAGATCACCGAGATAGGCACGATAACTCGCGTGATCTCACAATTGATTTATGGATTAAAGAAAGAAAGTTGTTCATTAAAGCGCTTAATGATCGGTACGTAATAAGAATATAACTTACAAACACACGGAAATCTTGCGATTTTTTTAATACACATTTTATTACTGGTATATTAAACCAAATCGGATTGAATACAATTTATTATTTCTATAAACGCTTTATATTGATATGTGATCTTCATCTAAAATGTATTCTTTTCATTATATGCCGCATTCTCTCTCTCTCTCTCTCTCTCTCTCTCTCTCTCTCTCGCTCTCGCTCTATTACAATACATAAAAGTTTAATTTTCTTGATGGGAAGCTACTGCAAACAGATTAACTGTTTAGTTAATAAATTAATTAAAAATAATTTAATCCTATTAGTCAACCCATGTTGCTTTTAGAAAATTAATTTACTGCATTATATTGCGTCTAGTAAATTAATTTCATAATTTCATAATTTTATAGACAACATCCGCGTTCATGAATACGCAAAGCACGCAAACTTCAGCAAATACGATGAGAGACACCACGAAGTTCGTGACAAAGAAGCCAACGATCACGACGATAGAAATGACTACGCAGACTACTCGCCTTTCAACATTCCAAACCGTGCAAAACGCCAGACCCAGCACGGAAGCCACGTTATTGAAGAAAACCAACAGTACTGTAAATATTACATCGAGTGTATCACCAGGTACAACGAGACAACCTACGAAACCGTCCACCTTGGCCACCACCCTGCAGTCTAGCGCCGTGAATGCAACGAAACCGACGACCCTCACGACATTATTGAAAACGACTACCAAGAAACCTGTCGTCTCCACGACAGCGCAGAGACCAACTGTGCTCACGTCCCAGAAGCCACTCTCTTCGACTACTCGCGGGCCGATTCTACCACACGAATCGACTACGACTACGATAAAGAACGTTCTCGCGACTACCACGCAGAAAGTGGTGCCTTCGACAAGATTCCCACCGAGAAATACGACGTCGATCAAACCGTTGACTCAGACGACCACGAGGAAACCCAGCACTAAGAGGCCTAGTAGCACCACCGTGACATCGAAACGCCCATTGGTGACTACGAAGAAACCCACCACATTGACGAAGAGGCCGTCAACGTCTTCGAAACCTCTCACGAATTCCAGCTTTGGCACCACTTTACCGGTAACGACCAAGCCTTACTCAACTTACGGGCCGTCCAGCAGCGTCGGATCTTCCAGCACGGGCATCAATCGAACGACGGAGAGTACTTTAGCCTCCACTGGAATTAGACCCTCGACTGCGACGACGGCGGTTACGAGCGCAAGTAATCAGAAGACCACCATTACGACCAAGAGCCCGGATCAGAAAGTGTCTGTTACGAAAACGACGACACTGAAGACGACCCCGAAAACGACAACGATCAGGACAACCACCGCTAGAACGACAACGGCTAAAACGACCATCAGCAGATCGACCACGGCTAAACCGTCAACGACCACGACGAGGTTGAAACCCACTAAGATCGCTAATACAACCATCAGACCCGAATACACCAACGTCACGACAACCACGGAGAGAACGAGGCCGTTATCGTCAACTGTCAGTTCAACGGTTGGCGCTACGAAACCGAGACCCAGCACAATGAAACCAACACCCTTGACGAAGGTTCCCGCGAACACGTCCAGTATCGTGGAGGTCACCACAAGTATCTCGAGTTCGATATCCACGTTTACCGTTAGGAACGAGAGCACCTCGACCCACGTACCTCCTACCAAGGGTCAGAATGTTAATCACACCCTCGAGGAAATCCCGTTGACTACGTATTCGCCAGGACTGGTGACGTGGAGCTCCAACTCCGATGAAATTTCTACGAAGGCGTCCAACGAAACGTCTTCGTCAACTTCAACGGTACCTACCACGTCAGGTGAATAACATATTAGCAAATTTCTTTCCTGCCTTCTATGTTAGAATATTATAAATCACTTATAATTAATAGCACAATCAGTAGCTCCCTTTGCCTATAATATTTAATTATAATATCAATAGTAACATGTCAATTATTTTGGACGTTTTTATTCGTCACATTGAAAGCAAGGTCTTGAATTTTTAACAGTTCATGTCGTCGATTTCAAACGAAAGGCGAAAGCAAAAGACATTATAAACTTACACAGCAATTCGTCAACGGGCTTTCGCTGTTCCCACCGTTTTGATGCATGCTGCGTGTCGTGCCATACAACGTGGATCGCTATCATGATTTCCTAATGCAACGGCAAGGGCGTCACGTTACACAATGAACGTCCGTTTTCTTCGATTTCACCGGTTAGCATACAGGCGCGGAACGAATAAGGCTGCTAATCACGTTTCTGATAATTCCCGGAAGGGTCGATCGGCGCCGACGAAGGGAGCATGTATAAAATTCGCGTCTGCCCATTGCCAAGTATAAAGGGACATTAATATTCCGTAAAAATTCGTTACCGAGTGAAGAGAATCAATAAACTAAAATAACTTTTTCGAGTGTTATAAGCTTTCGAAAAAAAAAATCAAGATTAAATTGACAGTTTGTAAAGTCCACTTTAAATATGCGATTATAAAGGACTTTTCATAGGCTCTTCATACTCTTCGCACTTATCTTCTCCGATATTTATTTGTTGTTTAGGTTCACATCTTTCTATTTCACATTTTAATATCATGCATACAATTCAAACGAACGTTGCCCACTGCTTCCAAAGCAAACGTTCACTTTTAATAAGATTGTAAAAAGATTAACGATTCGGTGCAATTGTCTCAATGGAGTATCGCCACGCGAGCTAAGCTCAAGAAGACGTCGCGCCTCTTCAAACGATATAATTGCATCTTGATTGCATGCAGCGCAAAAGTGAGTTACGCCGTGCTACATAAGTAGATAATCCGTCCCGCAGTCCGCGTTCATTCGACAAACGGTTACTTTATTCTACCCGAATGAACCGAGCTCATCTTGGATGCGAGTCAAGGTCGTTCCTCGGACCCCGGGAAAGATAATCGCGCAGAGACGCTATGTGGATCATGCCGTTGCTCCAATAGCACGACACTCTGATACATCGACGGGATAGAATGTCGTAACGGTTCGCAAACCGGCCATCCCGGGTTCTCCGTCGACGCAATTACGGTCATCTCTCCCTTACGTATCTCTATCTGTCTCCTTGTGCGGGCAAGACTTCGAATCATCTTCTAATAACTATAATTCGTCTTGTAAGAGAAAAAAGCGGAACTCACTCTTCTCTCGACCACCCTAAATTGGAGAATCAAACCGGTTCGCATCGCCTTGAATTAGCATAATATATCTGCCCGAAACTAACATTTTCTGAGAAGCTCAGGTCCACGAACTTGAAGAGATAATTCTTCTCATCTTTTTCCTCTTCGGTACATGTCCAGCAGAGCACCCTGCTGAATGTGTTTTCATCCAATTTTGAAGATAATTTATGTTGTCGAATTATACCTAATGCGATAAGCTTTCCATTTCTGGTTCCCCTTAAGAGTCATAGCTCTTTAGTCGGTAAGTTCGCGATTAATTAAAATACAATTGGGTTTCGCATTTATTACGCTTGTTCGCTTCGCAGAGCAAACTGATTGGGCGCCGATAACGACTCCGGATGGTTGGATAATGATTCAGTCGCCCACCACCGAAAAGTTACCGCAGACTCAGGAGTCGACGACCGAACCGGTTGCGGAATCCACTATACAGTCTTTGACTTCTGGTAAGGCACATTAATTGTAGCCTTTGCGAGCACTCCGCGGTTTGCGAGTTTCCTCGCGATCGAAGAACTTTCAAGAGTTGGCAAACGTAATCATGCAAACGAGCAACAACTTGGGAGGAATATCCTCTAAGAAGTCATAATACAGAAATCAACTGGAAGTTCTTAATAAATAGTATTGCAACAACACTCTATTTCGGAAATTTCTCCTGTCGAAGCTGCTCGCAATGGCACGCAGTTTTGATTTTATATGAATGTTTTACAGACAGTAACTCGCTCCTTTTATTTCACGAATGTAACAATGCCTAATTTACCAATTACTAACCTATCACTTCGGATTTTCAGCCACACCGTTAACAGAGAGCAATATCCCCGTCCCCACGAAGAGACCAACGGTAATCCCTTTGCTGTCAACGATCGCCAGCGTTACGATCGACGCGGAACTTCCGGTACCGATGGACACCCTCAATATGTCGGACTACAAACAAGGTTAATACTTAAATGCTCAACGGATTACGATGTAGTTACGAGCGCTTCACGTGCAAGAGCGGGTGCATGAATAAAAGAAATTAGATCGTTCCCAGACTGGGTGACCGGAACGAATCGTTACTCGACTAGAACTAGTCTCGGGACTAAAAACAAAATGACGGGTGAAATGCGGAACTGGAATCGGGTCACTGTCGGAATTCGCGTTATTCCGTTCGATTTTGCCCTAGTTAAATCCTGAAGATGATCCAACTTCTGATAGCAGATCGCGACAATTTTATCTTCTCGCGAAGTTATTAAACTTCTCGTTTGATAAGGTAGACATCTCTATTAATTCCAACACGGCACGTGTACGTTTCACAAACGAAAGACACGCAGTTCTGAGTAGAGGAGAAGATTCATATCCGTAGAGGATTTTACGATTTTCTTACTTGCGTAAGAGTTTCACATCGCATCATCTCCCAAGTTCTTGCAATTTTCAGTTATAGAGACAGCTCCGCAGTTTTCCGCGTACTTTTTATACTTGAAATAAGTCAGTTTTCAAAAAATAATTACGTAATTCTTATCGCTTATATCTTATTTTAGTTATCACATTGCGCGAGATCGCTTACGATACAGCGAAGACTATGATTTATGGATTAACGACCATTTTGTATTCCATTATCTAAGCCGCCATCGTCTAAGTTGCGTGATCGACAGTACAACTTAATTTAAATAATGATAGTGCAGTCATAAATTTTAACGTCGGTAATTTCCCGTAATCAATGCGATGTACGCCGCGTGTCGCAAGTACACAGTGCAAGACAATATTGCCGATACAAAAATTCCAATTCCGCCTACGGATAGACAAAAGAATTGTGTGAGCGACGCATCCGCGCAACGGTACCGGTTTCCATCCAGTCGCACAAACGTAGCGCGTCCGTTCTCCGACATGACCGTCCAATTGGGACTGATGCGATTTAACTCGACAATGTTTATTCTTGCAGTGTGCGGGCGAAGACTGTTCCCGGAGCCCAAGATCGTCGGTGGTGACCGAAGCTCTTTCGGGAAATGGCCTTGGCAGGTGAGCATCAACGCAATTATTGAGCTTTCTAGTAATTTACGCAGATTGCCTTACCGAATCGTTTGCCACGTGGCCTTTTTACACACACTGAAAAAGACTTCTTTTTCACTACCGTAGCCAATCATGGTTTGCTAAAAATATTTTGCTGCCATAAATTTCTAAACCACAGCAAACGGTCTCAACTAATACAATAAGCGCAGTAGCAAAATATTTAGCTGTCGTAATTAAATATTAACTGTCCATATTTTACAACTGAAATTTAGTTGCTGCACGTACAGTTTTTGCTGCGGCAGCTACACTTTTCTTTCCGCGCGGTTTGTCTAAATAGTATTATCCAGTTCTTTGGGAATACTCGTCACAATTTAGTTACATCAATCAGATTTAATAATTACGCGAAGGTAATTGTTGTTAAATGTGTAATTTAAAAGTCACAAGAAAGAAATACAATAAAACTTGACTTTTGTGAGACCGTCACGAGTCCAAACTCACCATCATTCAATCCGTTATCTAGTGAACGAACAAAGTTGCAATAATAGATAATCTTAAATGTGAAGGAAAAGATATAACCACGATGACGGTCTTTCACGTTAACAACAGTCATCTTATTACGTACCAGAGATAATGCGTAGCTCGATCGTCGCACGACGCGACGCACGGCGATTGATTCCCTCACGTGGCGGATTTCCTTGCAGATCTCATTACGTCAATGGCGATCGCAGACGTATCTGCACAAATGCGGCGCGGCATTGTTGAACGAGAACTGGGCTATTACCGCGGCGCACTGCGTCGAGAGGTAAGTGTTTGCCGTAGCTGCGACGCTCATAATCAACTTCTCTCCCACTCGCACGATCATCTCGGCCATCGGCGGCGTTCTTTAACGTTGCAGCGCGAAGCCCCCTCGCGACAACAGGCGTTTACGATATTTCCGCGCAATGAAAAGAGCGTATCTTCGCTTGTATAAACATTTTCTCATCTAATCTATTTGAGAAGCGACCAAGGCCATCGCGTCGTCCTAAAGTAGAGCAGAGAAGCTCCAAGCACGTTATCATTCAAGAGAAACAGAATTCCCGACATTTTCTCTGAATTTTGTTATTTATAACGTCAGTGTTTTCTTGACCATACCTGGCATTTTTAATAATACAGCAAATTTATTGCGAAAATTATTACCTCAGCCAGGGTTTGAACCTGGACCTCCCTACACTCTAGGCGGGCGTCTCACCAATTCGACCACCGAGGCATATGATAATATTTGTCGCAATAACAGGATAAAGATGTTGTCTGATTACTTGAATATTCACCATTGACCTCAAACATGGTGTTTCCCACGCAACTAAGAAAGGGGGGAAGGAAGAGGAAGGAGGGGGAGGAACAATTAAAAAATCGTGTATTCGACAGTTCTGTGTACGGCCGACAACCCTTATCGGCGCGCAGTTCACAAAAGTCGAAAATATACGCGTGGACAACATCTGTTATTGCGACAAATATTATTATACGCCTCGGTGGTCGAATTGGTGAGACGCCCGCCTAGAATGTAGGGAGGTCCAAGTTCTAACCCTGGCGGAGGTAATTTTTTCGCAATAAAATGTTCTGTACTATTAAAGATGCCAGGGTATGGTCAAGAAGATACTGACGTTGTTAATTACCGCTGGCGACATTGAAGAATTCTGATTAGTTGTTTATTATTCATATTGTCAGCATCGCGCCCTCCCCAATCTGTTTTCCAGAATTTGTTTTAATTTTTCAATACTAGACTTTTTTTAACGCGCTCTTAGCGGCACCGTATTATTTGAGACGCAACGGAAAATTGCCCGTAATTTTATTTCCGGATAGAATTTCCGGTCAAGTGAAAAACACCGGTGTATACTTTGCAGCGTACCACCTAGCGAACTGCTGTTGAGGATCGGCGAACACGATTTGGCGAACGAGGACGAGCCGTACGGATATCAGGAGAGAAGGGTGCAAATTGTCGCGAGCCACCCGCAATTTGACGCGCGCACCTTCGAGTACGATCTCGCCCTGTTACGATTCTACGAGCCGCTTGTGCCGTTCCAACCCAACGTCCTGCCGATTTGCTTGCCCGACGACGACGAAACCTACGTTGGCCGCACCGCCTACGTTACTGGCTGGGGCAGACTTTACGACGGTATTACAAATGCAGCGTCATAATTCTCCTAATATACAACACGCAGATTAATCACTACTAGAATTGTATAGTATTTCAATGGGGGTATTTTATGCGAGATAAACTATTTGTCACTCGTCGCGCAGATGCTCAAGAAGATTTTTATCTACCTTTGCAGAGGGACCGCTACCGTCCGTGTTACAGGAGGTTGCAGTACCGGTTATCAATAACAGCGTGTGCGAAGCGATGTACAGAAACGCGGGTTACATCGAGCACATTCCGCACATATTTATCTGCGCCGGCTGGAGAAACGGCGGATTCGACTCTTGCGAGGTCAGTTCTCGTTTTCCTCGCCCGCAACTTTACGCAAATCGGGAAAATCGTCGTTCGCGCCCTCGTCTAAGAGTTCCTCGAAATTGAGAATTACAATTAAATAAGTGCATTGCTGCTGTATAATTTATACTTCGCGATCATTCTGACGGTCACATCGTGACATGTGTCACAGTAAAAATGTTTTTCGAAATTTTCAAAATAGTGGAACGTCTTTTAAGACAATTGGGCGTCTTTTGAACATTACAGTTGTCTCGTTGTTATCGATACGAAAATTGTATAGTGTATTGTTACGAGGGTTGGAAAAGTTACTTTATAATAGTATCTAGGTGCAGTTACAGTTTTTTTTTCGCTAAAAATGTAACTAGTTACAGTTACAAGTTCCCAATTCTGAAAAGTAACGCGTTAGAGTTACAGTTACTCAAAAAGTAACGAATCGTTACTTTGCAGTTACTTTCTTGCAATGAAAATAAAAATCCGCACTTGAATTGTAAAGCGTCGGTAAAAGCGTTTATGCGCAAATGCAAGGCCTAATGCAATCTGTGGGGGTTTAAAAAATATATAAAGTAACTATTAAATTAGTTACTGGTTATTGAAAAAATTTAACTGAGTTAAGTTACAGTTATAGACGAAGAAAAGGTAACGGAGTTAAATTAGAGTCACAAGAATAAAGTTACTGTAATTGTAACTTCGTTACAAGTAACGAGTTACTTCCTAACCCTGATTGTTATCATTTTCTACTTTTGCCAGGGTGATAGCGGCGGTCCGATGGTCATCCAAAGAGCGCGAGACAAGCGATGGATCCTCGCCGGAATCATCAGCTGGGGAATCGGTTGCGCCGCGCCCAATCAGCCTGGCGTTTACACGCGTATCTCGGAGTTTCGCGATTGGATCAACCAGATCCTGCAATTCTGAGCGTCTCGGCGAAAGAGCGTGCTCCGCGCTCGAAACTCGCGCTTTCGCGTCGCGCCGACTCCCACGGACGTTCGTAACGATCGCCAAGCGGACGGACGGCACCATCTGCCGGAGCTGTGAGCCAAGTGCAATTTAGTGGAAAAAAAAATCTAAGCGATTTCCCAGCGCGGGGATTCACAGAGATCTGTGCGCGTGTTGCGAACTCGGACGACATGTGGAGCCACTGATTCGATTTTCGCGAGTGAAGCCGCCGACGTGCACGCGATTTCCCGGGCAAATCCAACGTGTTACAACGATACGGTGAAGGGACGACGGGCGGTATCGATTTGCGATATCGGAGACACTGTGAATACCAGTGATAAGCACATCGGATTTTGTGACGATGGATCAAAGTTTCCGATCGACTTAGATTTATTTATCTAGAATCGATTTTTTAAATACCCTCCACTCTCTTTTTACGTGATAGAGATACGTCGCGTTAGAAAAAAGCCTGTGTAAAACCGTGTACAGTTTTGGAAGCTGTTTACATGACTGAGCTTGAAGGCAATAAGGGTGAACGAGCAACGTATGAATGATAATCGAATCACGATTGACAACCGAGCTGTTGAAATGTGATCTATAACGATAATGGTAAAATATGGTCTGTCTAGGATATTACTCGCTTTTTCAACATAAAAATATATGGGGGGATATCAGCCCGATGACAACATTTCCATTAATTAATTGTTAGAAATTAAACTCAAAAGCTGTAGATATACACGAGAGATTACAAGATTTTTTTACGTTACTTAGAAAAAAACGCGTAAAAGGGAAAACGTGCAAAAAAGAAATTGCGTAGAAAAAGAGTTGGGTGTATAGTTAAATTCCAGGACACGTAATTACATTTTTAAAGTAAATTATTCGTTTAAATATCTATAGATGCTGTTCAGCATTAATTTCTTAAGTTTTCTCCTTCTACCAAACATATACAATATTATTGTAATTATTCTTTTCTAATGTGTTCAGTTTGCTCAAAGCCTGATTTATCGAACGCATATAAAAATGCACGTGATTACGCTAATTAATAGATTTACGAAGGAAATGTTGTGTCGATACGTTATTAATTTAATAATAGAAAAAATTCACTCGTTTGTTTATCGAATTTTCGCTACAACATAGGGCGCGTTCCGTTTCACGCATGATACGCATGATGCATTATTTATCTTTCTTTAACATTTGCCGAATAACGAGGATAAACGATGCATCATGCGCATCATGCGTGAAACGGAACGCACCCTTAATCACACGGAGACACACATTTCCGAAATTAATTTTAACTTTGAATTAAAATAAATTAAAATAATGTTGATTAAAAAACTTAAATTATATTTAATTCAGTAAAGCGTAACGTAAAAGACTATTTAATTACTAATCGGAATTGATATTCAATATTTACAAAAATATTTGTAATTTAATATTTTGTATATTTATTTACCTTCTCATCTACCATTTAAAGCGATTAATCGTGAAGCTACTGTGATTCAGAATTCACATATTTTCTAAATATGTATTTATATAAAAAAATATAGTAGAATAAGTGTTTGAATCACAGTTTGCAGAAAAATGGTCTATGTAAATGTCGTCACGCGTTACAACAAACATTCTACGATATCGTCAATAAATATTCGGAGCAAAAACATAAATACTGTCTAATGAATATAACACAAAAAAACCCCACACTTTTATGACTTTTTGCCTGTCGATAAATAAAATCTGCACGTAGATCCGCACGTATGCAATAATATTTGAATTTCTGCCTCTACATTTATAAATTTTAATGTGCACATAGTTGAGTGCAGAATAAACAAAATATCCCAAAATGGCTGGATGAAAGTAAGATCGACTCCAAACTCAGATTATGAAAAATGATCGACTATGTAAATTTACTTCGGTATAATCGGATAAAAACATCGTAATACAAATAATGCGTATGCGATGCGTACGCGTATTATTGCCAACTGTTAAGGGAAAAAATTATTATCAGTTTGCAATAATCGAGCTGCAGCTGTTACTGGGATTTAATATTCCATGCCAACGTCAATCACATGCAGTTCCGCTCGTTATAAATTTACATAGCAATTCCCAGTGAATTCCAATGGGAATTTCAGTGCATTCTTCGAAGCTCATGAATATCCAGTTATCCCAATTGATCTTGGGAAGAAACGAAGGGAAATGCGCCCGACTACAGCTTCATAAATTCTGTCTCTTTCGCCTCCTTTCCGTGACGAGCACTTTGCTTCGTACTTGAGCACAGTCTCAAGTGAAAACGAATTGACGATGGCGCTAATGGTAAAAACGTGCTCATTAATCTCAATGGCTCGTTTGCGAGCCACCAAGCGACTCATTACATACATTTTAATCTAAAGAGTATATTCTACGTAAATTGTGAGCTAAACTCGATCGAGCCGAAAAAAATCAAGAAAACAAATGCACCAGCACCGCATACAGCGAGGTACATGTGCCGAAATATTATTTAACTTAATTTATAAAGAAATATCTATATAAATGCATAGATTATATTATATACACATATGTGCGACAGGCGTGCGCGTGCGACTGGAATTTACTCGCGCACGTGTTCCAAACGGGATTTATGAAGAGATATTCTGTGCTTTTTAACGACGGAGCGCCTTAATTATTCATTCAGAAACACTTTGCACGATCACGATCAACGATCCGATGAGGTTCTACATGTTCGCTTATTCGAAAAATATATCGCGCATCCCTTTGTCGTTATCGCGCGAGAGGCGTTTGTCGTTAATTAAATCGACAAATGTCGCAGCCCGCGGTACTGCAATCGGAATTACGCGATTCCATTGCACATGTAAATATTCGTACCGACATCGATCGGATTGTGGCGCGGTACACACAAGGCAGGTTCTCACACCTGCCCGCTTTTCATCTCCCGCCGTCGCATCGGCCTTTGTGCTTGCCAGACGTGCATTAAAAAAAAAACAATCATTCGTATCCGCAAAAGCTGTGTCAATTATGCTCCTACCGTCCCCTTTTTTCTCCCTCTATGTCCTCTGCCGCGCGTGTGTCGCGTACATGCATTATATTTCCTCTCTTACGTCATCGCCAGTGCATCCCTCCTTTCTATCGATGCGTGGCACTGCGAACAACGGTGTGGGCGTTTGATATTTGCGCACTGAGAGAGCTCGTGATTTCGAATATCGCCCACGCGTCGCAGACGCCCACCTCTCGGGCTGGGCGCCAGCGCGAACGGGGACAGACGCGGGGTGGAATTTTGTGAAATTGAGTTCGCCGCCTTAATGAGCGGCACTCGATGAGCTCCTAACGAGGCGAGATCGCAGTACGACGCCGCCGAGTGTTTGACGCGAAACAACTTTGACATTGTTACAATTCATATTACGTAAATTCGAGATATTCCTTGATCGCCCTTTCACGTTGATGCGACAAGTGGTCTCTCTTGTCAGTGGATTGCTGCGGAACTCTATCTCGGGACGCGTATATCTTGAAACTTTTTCGTCGACAGACAGACGAAAAATCCGAAAAATCAAGGCTAAAGTTAAAATTTACAAGATAAATTGAACGTTTGCATATAAAATAAATAAGGTAGGCAAAAGCTACAAAGAAATACGTCACCGAAGGCAAGAATTTTTGCGACACAACTCAATTCGCACTTTCATGCGTAGTGTTTCTCACGCTGGATATTAGAATGCTAAATGCATGCATCGCACGGAGTTAACATCCTTGGCGGCCATAAATTTTCCCCGATGCTAACGGTACGTTGCCAATCGTTAAGGATCGAGCCCGTGTTCGGAAGAATTGGCTCACCTTCTCATGTAAAAGGTATCGGCCGATCAGCCGTGAAACATCTTTCAGATACAGTTAAAATTCGATGGTCTCGTCTCGGAATATCCGACCGCTCTCGTCGCCTCGTCGAGACAAATGTATTTAAAATGTTAACATGACCGGCACAAGGACGTAATGTGACAGATAGCGATTACGATATGCATTCAATTGTCGCAATAATTGTGCTTTACGCGTCGCTGGTGCCGATATAACTGTGAAACCGATTACAAATTAAATGTAGCAGAACAAATTTGCATTCCTCTATTCATTTCGCGTTTCAGTTCGCGAAAACGCAAACGTACGAGGGAAAATTTCGCGCAGCGATAATGTGTGCTCTAAGCACTTTATTCCTTAGAACTAAAAAATGAAGATATACAAGGTATAAAAAAATCTCTTTGCATTTCCTTTTATGCCATTTTCTTGTTGAGAGACTGTCAGAGGAATTATAATGCCGTATTTCGAGTGCCACTCTGCTGGATAAATGTACGAGGAAAAATTCTTACAAATACGCGACGTTATTCAAATGCGTTCCTTCTTTTCATTGCATACAGAATTATCACGTGGAAAGATGTCACGTGGAGAGTTAAATTGTAATTGCAAATTGGTAAAGAGAACTAACTCTTTCAAGTAGTCTTTATGTTAATCAGGTTTTAATTCGCGGGGGTTCGCTGTGAGGAAAAATTGTCACATAGAATCTGTTGAACTGTAAAATGCGTAAGTGTTTCTAGTACACTCTGCACGCGATAGACGTGAAACAACAAAGCGAGCAGTATTAATGAGAATCGAGATTGAAAAGCTTGTTGTTTTACTCAACGCAAATAGAAGAGAAGGAGAGAGAAAGGTTGCTATTGTAAGCTAGGTAAAAAGATTCTTTCTATGTTATTTCCCTCACTATATTTACCACAGTAATGAGTTTCAAACAAAGTTATGACCGCGATTTACCTGTGCGTTTCTCTATGCAAAAAGCTCGATGTATTTATAAATATTCATAGGTCAAAATCTTTCGCGTCTGTTAATTAACACTTATCATTACTCGCGGCTCTGCCGCAGAAAAATTGTCGACAAGAATACTTTCCAGAAGTTTTCCCGCTTGTCCCTTTAGTGTTTCAATTTATTAATTAAAATTAATTAAAATTTGTTTAAACAGTGATTGTCTCTTTGACATTTCTAGCTAAAGAAAATGTAATTGCAAAGCAACTTTCGTTTTATTATATCCGCCGTATGAGAGCTCCGCCA